CGAGGCATGTGCTTTTCCATAGAAGTGAATAAAATGTGATCAATGTTCTGAATGTCTTGTGATTTGAACAGCAGGACAGCAGGCCTGAAATGGTAGACCCTGCAGGGAGGTAAGGATTTAGTATCAACAGTGAAGGTCAGTCTTGATTCCATGAGTACTAGACATAAGTATAAAAACTTACCTAGATTCATGTCATAAATAGGTCATCCTTGAATGTTGTCCCTTAAATATTGTCATTGAAATACTGTCATTGAAAAGTCAAATAGAGAGGAGTGCTGTTGCTTATGTTGTGAGGATGATTATTACACAATTCAAAATGCACGATCGTTGTTCAGTAGAGTTACAGAAAATTACTTAAGTAGAGCTTCTTGTCCCACAATTCTTTTATCTTTATTTTTTTTTTCCCCTTTTAGAAAATATAATCACCATGTCCTCTGCACTATTGCCTAAGCCACAAATGCGGCGCCTTTTGGCCAGGCGGATGAAGTTTCACCTATTTGGGGCGTTTTTTGTATCTGTGGGATGTGCGGCTTTATACAAGGTGAGATCTGTAGTCATTCAATTATAAACTGGACTCATTGGAGTGTTTTAAGAATTCATAATATTTTCTTGTTGAGATTTGGTTGAGCTATTCATCAGAAAGCTTTAGTAATATGTTTTTGTAAGCATGTTTCCAGAACATAAATAAATCTTCCTAATCTTCATTTGAAGAAATGATATGAATAACCTGATGCTTTAAGCTTTGTGATCACGTAATTCATGACAACCTTGAGTCTCCTAGTCCCAGATGGCTCTTGATCATTTGCATGATTGATGCACATTAACTCTGGATAGTCTGCGTCTCTCTCTGTCACGGTATCTGAGAGTCGAGAGAGTTGTCAGGTGTCTTTTAGCTCTAGACTGATTTCAGGAAACTTGCTCATAAGCAATTTGGAAAACCCATCCTTCACATTGAAGATATCAGTGTGGGGAAGACTAGTACAGTCCTTTTATCCTTTCTTTTGAAGCAGCATGTGGAAATGGAGCATTACATTTCCAAACAAAACCCCACTTACAGATTGGAGTTAGGTTTTCGTGGTCCTTAAGAGGCTTCTGACAAAGATAAGAGTGGTTGTTGTTCTTTATGCCTTTACTAAATAATTCTCGGATCTCATACACAAAGCAAGCAACACAGTTTGAATTCCTGTGGAAGAACTGGATCTTGGTTTGCCCATTGAACTACTTCATATATTATTTGCAGTATTTGAGTAGTCAGGAAGCTATTGATAAAAGTGACTAGAAATTAGGTTAAATTGAGGTTGTTCATCACAAAAATATCACAGTTGACTTAAACTTCTCAGAGATCAATGAATGTCTATCAGAAACAATAAACTTGCACAGCTGAAGCTTAACATCTACTTAACACATGTGCTAAGAGGTAGGCAAGCTTGTTTGTGGTCAGACTTACAATATAATGTTTTTTAATAGTCTGTGGCTTTATGCCTTATTTGGCACTCTCACATTAATACACTAGTAAGGCAGCAGACCATATTTAGAAAAAGTAACATGGATCTCAGTAGTGATTAGTAGTCATAACCTGTTAGATACTGTTGAACAAACCCACCGTGGACTTCTGGACTTTCCCACACATCTTTGGGGGGTTTTTGAGCATATCCCTGTGCTTCAGGTGAATGAGTATCCAAGGAGTCACGATCATGTCTTTTTGTGTTTGTGAGCTGTAAGATTGGCTTGGCAGTCTTGTAAAATTTTACCAGACTTCTGTAGTTGACCTACAGTGTAGCTGAAATGTAATACTTTGTTTTAGGATGCCATTTCATCTGGAGTTGTTGCAGCTGCTTGCAGTCACGAAACTTGCCATAATGGCGTGTTTTACGTATAAAACTATTAGCAGGAAAGGCATTGGACACTTGAGTGTCAATGTAGGTGGAGTGTTTCTGGATCATAAAGTGTAATGTGCTATCTTGTAATGGACTTTCTTTTTAAGGTTTTATTTCAGACATTTGTTTTCCTGACCGATGGTAGTTTGAACTGTGGATTTTTTTAGACTGATATCGACTGATACAAATCATAGCAGTAATAGAAAAAGAATTCTGTTTGTCAAGCTTTGCAAGTTTTAATTTTCTATGTGTTACTTTCCAGTTTGGAGTTGCTGAGCCCAGAAAACGAGCTTATGCAGAGTTCTATAAAAACTATGATCCCATGAAGGACTTTGAAGCTATGAGAGCAGCTGGCGTGTTTGAGTCTGCACCGCCCAAATGATGGTAACAGGTAATTTACAGGTAATAAGCTCCTCTGCATTAAAACAAGAGTAAGTTAGATTGTTTCAGTGAAACATTGTGCTTCTGATTGATCATTGTGCTTCCTTTTTGATCAAATAGAAAGGTGCTCCCAGAGAAAAAGGATACAAATTGCACTCGAGAGATCTCAGGGTAATAAAAACATGAAGAAATATGGGAACTGGGGAGCAGGGAGTAAGGGCAGAATAGAAAGCTCCTGAGTACTTTTTGGGTAATGTGTTTAACTTGTGCGGTGTAGGAGACTTGCACAGAGTGATGCCAGGCCTTTCCCTCCTCATGCAGTCATGGAGAGGAGACAAAGCTCTTGTATTGAACTGTAAGACTTTCCTGATATCACTGTTATGTTGATGTGGTCACATCTCGGACTGCTTAGCTTTGGGCTGTCTGTATCTACTGCTTAGGTACTTGTGGTGGTACAGTGAATGAGAAAATGGAAAGGCTGTTTCTTTCTCATAGCATGCACCTTAATGTAAGAAACAGAGACAGCTTCCACACATCCTTTTGTCTTTTGAGGTTGGTGAGAGGGGGAAGATAACTAGTCATGAGGGGAAAGACATTTAAAGATAGATAGATAGATAAAAATCACAATGGCATGTTGTGTACTAATATTCAGATTTTTGCCATACTGAATTAAGCTTGAACAGAACTTTGTTCACAATACTGTTTTCCTATCACTTAACACTGCCTTTTGTTTGAAGACTACCAAACTTTGTTCTCTGTTACTTGTTGTCATAACACCAGGGAAAAAAGGTCTTGATTTCAACCTCATCATAGTTATTAATAAGCACGCTCACTAAACTGCACAAGCTCATGATGTGACAACTCAATAAAGAATTCCTCCCCCTTGATCCAAATTTCTTACATTGAGTTCTCTGCTTCTCTTAAAATGACTTCTAACTAATCTAGAATGATAGCTTTTTCATTCTTTTGGAATGTTTTCATATTGTGATCATTATGTGATAATCTGTGGGTCTAATTATCCTGGCCAGCTGGATTTTCTCAGCCTGTTTGCTTAAAGCAGCAAGATTGAATAAAAGATTTGTACTTAACACTATTAATACTAAATTCTGTTGTGTGACAATCTACAACTGTCTGGTGTTCTGCATAACACAATTACATAAAAAGAGCTCCAGCTCTTCTAACAAATTTAAAAAGAAATAAAACTTATGGCTGTCTTTTTTTTTTTTCCCCTCTTCGGTAAGAGGGGGAAACTTCTGTTCTTTAGCTCTTTAGCTATGACTGCAACAAAGATAAATAATGATACGATAAATTTACCTGGTTTTACTCCTGGTAATTCTGCCTTTGGTTTGGTCCTATTGCTAATATATAGATACTTTTAAACTTTCTTAGACATTAGAATTGCATTCTTTAGTCAGGTGGCCTTCATCAGAGTATTCTGAAAGGCCATCTGGTGGTAAAATCATTTGAAACAAACACTGGCAACAGGGATGCTTGTTGAATATTTAATTGGAATCATGAGCAGGATTTTTTTAAAGTACAAACGGAGCTCCACTCTCAGTGTATGTTTCCATTTGCAGCTTAAAAAAAAAAAGTTGCACATTGTGTGCACCTGTTAAAATTAAATGTTTCCTAAACATTTCTTCCATTCCTTAATTACACCAGCTCAAAAGAAAATGTGAAAGACAAATCTTCATATGTGATCTTGTTTGAATTGCTGATGTTTCTTATTCCTTAGCTGATTTGTATAAGAACTGGTATTTTTCAATTCTTCATAGCAGAAAGAGGTTGGGTGCTTTTGTGCCTGCACATGAATACATAAGTAGAAGGAGGGGAGAACAATACCAGTGTTTCAAATGTTCTAAAAAGACTGTGAAAAGGACAAGTACACAGAACATATGGAAGACATTTTCATTTCCTCAGTAGCTTAAATCTTAGGTACGGAAGTTGACTGGAGGTTGAATGTGATGCTTTTTTTGGTATAGTTACTTAAAGAGTATAGTGGTCATGCATGCTCTACCTCTCCTGTTTTATTGGAATATATTCTCTGTGTGGCAGTAAATACTGTGCTTGACCCTCATGTAATACCCCCCCCCACAGCTGAGGAAGGGGTAGGGTAGGCAGGAAGGAGAATTCACGAGTTAAGGTGTTAACTTGGAAGTCTGCACTGAGTTTGTTCCCCCTGGACACATAGGAAAATTGGTAGCTAAGTGTGAATTTACACTCTTTCTTCTACTTGGCATGGACATTGTGTGGCAATACTGATAATGGAAACTAAGTGCAAGTATAAATTTGAGCAATATCCTACTTCTACAGTGTGCTCAGTAATACAGTAAGGCTAGACTAAGAGTTTGGTGCTAACCGCTTGCATGACTCTTGTCATGGAGCACAGCTGGTCTTGGATTGTGTTCAGTATAATGGGGAGAAGCAATTTGAATTTGGTTTTCTTCCTTCCTTGGTAGGTTGCCTACACCACTTGTTTCCTCTCTGGCTCCTATCTGAAAGTTGCATTCCTTTCTCTTTCAGGCCCTTAGGAAGATTGATTCAGTTATCAGTGCAGCATGTATAGTGAATCTGACGTGCTGTGCAGTATTGTTCCAGCTCTTGATTTGTTCCATGTTTCACTTCTGTTTGCCACATGAAGGGTGTGTGAATCTTAAACTGTCAGGAAATAACGGGGGGAATTCCTCTAGACGAAACCACCACATAAACGTTTCTCTCTATTGCTTTGCATTCGTACATACTAATATGTTTACTTAGAGCATGAAGTTTGTCCAACATAACTTAGTATTTTTTTTATCTTGCAGATCCCCTTCAGTCTAAGGAGACTTGATGACCGAACCTTATTTGTTCACTTCAGTGCATGGCATGCTCTAATGTAACTCAATAAATAAAATACATGTCAGTGGTGCTTAGTTGTCTTCATTGATGTTGAAATGCTTAAATGCTCAGATGCTAGGAAGAGTGGTGGAAAGTCTTCATAAATGGCTCAATATGAGTAAGTCTAGTCCCGTCCCGTGTCCGTGTCTCCCCCCCCCCCCGCGCTTGTTTCCCCCCCCCCCCGGAATTGTTTGCATCTTTGCTTTGGCCAAATTCCACATGCGATAACAAAGTATATCCCAAAGCAGTTACAGCTAGGTTGTCTTTGCTGCTGATGGGGATGTGCAAGAGCATAGATGTTAGAGAAGGAAGAGGCTGGATTTCTGGAAGGATCTGTGTTACCTCTGGCTTCTGAAGGTGAACTGACCTTGAGATGAAAGAATTTGGAGAGGAATTCTGGAAATATACTAGCTGACCTTATCTTTTTGTGCTGCCATCACTGCATTGCCTTCCTTAACAGCAGCAAACTGTTACATTGCGACTTACAAACTATGCCAGTGCCCATTCTTATACATGGAATGTTACTCTAATTGGAAAATGACTCTAAACTGCAGGTATGTTCACATATATTTGATGTAAAAGGGGAAAGAGGGTAAAAGCAGGCAAAAGAAGAGCTACTTATTTTAGGATACTATGGGAATGAAAATCTTTACATGCTGCTTCTAGACATGTATCATCTCCTTTTTAGTATCTGAAGTAGTCAGCTAAGCATGGATTTTCTCTCTGCTACGTTTGTGTGTTGCCTGCTGCTGAGGTTGAAGATGGTACTGGGGCTGCAGCTCTCCATTGCTGGGTGTGGGTGCTGGGAGAGGAGTCAGAGCTGATTGTGCAGGGCAGGCTTTGTGTGAAGCAGGGTGACAAATTAAGCCATCTGTGTTGTATTTGAAGGTCTTCAGTTCAAATCCTGTTCGGAGTAACTTATTTTAAATGGATCATTAGCTACTTAACACTTCATAGGTATCAGTGAGCAACATTTGGACTAATGAAAGCACGTAAGTAATGTATTCAATCCAGCACACTATTACAGAGCAACATGGGATTTTATTTAAACTTTCCATAAAGGCAGTGCTTCCTTTAAGCAAAGAGTTTGACATTAGTGGTGCAGGGGAAACCATCTAGTAATCAAAATACCCCTGCTCCTATAAATGTAAACCAAAGCCTAACAATAGCAAATGATACCCATTTATCTTCCAAATGTACAGAATAAACATTGTATGCCGTTAAGTACCGACTAACATTTTCTCAGGCACGTCTGCGGGTTCAAATAGCCAAGGGTCTTTAGTCACACTGACAGCTTCGGGGGCAGAGAAACTCGCTACTGCCAGGTGTGCAGGCTGAGGCCTGACTCCCTGTGCAGCTCCTGCTCCTGTAGTCTTCCCAGTTGCGGGGAATTAATTTACTTTTAAATTCTAAGTTTCTTCTAAACTGTTATAGCCAACAGCAGCTATTGTTGTTGTCTGTGTTCCTTTGTTACCAGCATGCGTTGATTTAAAGAACTGAGTCTTGTGACTGAAGCTAGCTTTTGGCCCAGACAGCAGAGCTCACAGATGTCTCTGGCTAAATGTATTCAAGAAGGACAAAGAAAGGTGAGCTCTAAGGGCTCTGTCTGTGTTGAGCGGCTGTAGGTTATGACTAGTGCTTTCTGTATATATTACAGTTTCACAAGGGATGCAAAGCAAGTGCTTCCTTTCAGCAGACAATGCCAACAAACCCAGAGCTCACTTTCCTCTGGAGACGGAAGGGCGGGCAAAGCTGGGTACCTCATGTAGGAGTTGGGCAGAAGGGCTAACGTTTTCTGAAAGTGGCACCAACCCACAAGTTTCTTTTTTTTTCTTTTTGCCTTTGCCAGCAAAAGTTCAGCTAATCCTGTCTTGCAAACAATTGGGAGTGGGACTTAGCATAGTACAAGACAGACCTGTGTGAGTTAGATCCTTAATCAGTTGCTTGTTACAGGATCTGGCATGCTGTTCCTAGGAGATGAGAGCTGAAAAACATGCTTGTCTGCTCTGAGACCATCCCAACTGTCTGTAAAGGTTTTTGCTCTATTTATGTATGAAATAATATCTGAAAAGGAATTGTTTGACCTAAACTACTTTGGGAAAGGTCTTGCCGTGTATGTGTCTG